ACTTTTCAATAATAATTATTGAAACTCAACACACACAACTTTCACAATGACAGGGTAAACCGACAGTTTCGTTGCATATACCGACAGACCGACTGACCGACTGACTGACTGACAGAGACTCACTGACTGAGACNCCTCCTCCAGTCCAAATTTGAATCCGTTAGATTACAAGATATGGCAACACTTGGAGGAAAAGGCGTGCTCAAAGCCTCATCCCAATTTGGAGTCACTCAAGACATCCTTGATTAAGGCAGCCGCCGATATTGACATGGACCTCGTTCGTGCTGCGATAGACGACTGGCCGCGCAGATTGAAGGCCTGTATTCAAAATCACGGAGGTCTTTTGAATAAACTTTAGTGTCATAAGAATCTATGTTTTGTTAAGTTAATTTTGGTATATGAATGGTTACATAATGAATAAACTTGTTTCAATTATTTTACATTAAACATGTGACAAAATTTATGACCTGACTAGGTAATATGTATGTTTGTAACGGAATCTTTGAACATGCTTTTGACCCCCTTGAAAACGTCGGATTAACTCGAAATTTGGTATATACTTATTAAGGACCGATGACATTTCAATATTTAAAAAAAAATTGAAAAAAAAATTGAAAAAATTGAAATTCAACTGAAAAATGATAAATAAATAATAGTTTAAAAAAACTAACAAAATACGCTTTTATAGAAAATCCTATTAAAAAATAGACAATAAGTTTTAATAAATTTTAATTTTAAGAAAAAGTGATTTTATTGTAAAAAACTATTATATATTTATATCCATTTTCTTTAGTCAATCCAAAGAGTAATAGAAATATTACGAACATACGAATTTACACTTAATTTAATTACGACATTACGAATATTATTAATAAATAATAAATAAATAATAACGAACAACCTACTTAGAAATGCTAACTAAACGATCAAGATATCTCAGCATAGATTCCACTATTCCCTTTAAAAACATAGCTCGACGCCAGAACATAGAAGATTATTGTTAAATGGTTGCTGAAAATCGTTTCTTGTCACGAAAGGATCAGGCTATTCATTTTATGGGACTTCAGAGATTATTTCAAGAACCGAGTAAAATAAAAGTAACGACAGAACATCCCTATGGGAGGCTTTATTTGTAGCTACACTATTACATTGATTTCACGCTGAATTTCATTTATTTCACATGTTTATTTTCTGTTGATGTTTATGTTGAGTTCCATTATTGTAGTAGAATGATCTATTTTGTTCGCTATTCAATCGACGTAAACAACTAAAAAATGAAACAATAAGATGTAGCATATATTGCAATATTCTTATATACTACTAGCTGTCCCGGCAAACATTGTTTTGCCATATATAAGATTTATAGGGAATTTCTAGTGTAGAAAAAAAAACTAAGTTATTGTAAGTGTGTAAAGATGTGGTAAATGAGTGAAAGAGGCATGTAGCGCTGTGAACGTTGAGGGAATATATAATAAAAATAACAAAACCTCATTCAACCACATAATACCTCATTATAACAAAAAAAAAAGTCCAAATAAAAAAAATATGTTAGGGGTGGACAACCCTAATCACTTAGGGGTATGAAAAATAGATAGTAGCCGATTGTCAGGCTTATTTAATATGCATAAAAAATTTCATGAGAATCGGTCAAGCGGTTTCGGAGGAGTATGGGAACGAACATTGTGACACGAGAATTTTATATATTAGATTACATAATTTACCTTAAATACTAATAATTAGGATATATGTAGTTTTGAAAGAGTGTAGATCTTACTTAGACCTGAGAATACTTATTATTACCATGGCTTTATCTTTATTGAACTTACGTTCGAAAGAAACGACTGGTAAACAACTAGCGGTTCGATTTTGATGAAGACCGTAGACTTTTGTTTCTAAATTATTTAGCTACTTTATTTTCTTCTTTTATAGTATTAGCCGCCATTAGTTAGATAGTCTGTAAGCTTAATAAAAACCTCTCGCCGCCGTTGAACATTAAATTCCGAAGATCTGTACTAGACGAGAGCTACCAGAATTGCATTAGAAATATTCAGCAGTCCCCGGAGATAAAAGAATTGTAGCCTCCTAGTGTCTATCACACTCCTAGACGTTATTGCCTGCTAGAATACATCGCCGTGTCGTTTGATACGAGATACTAATAGAATATTACTCGTAAATAATGTACCGTAGTACTAAACTGTACTATCTCCCTCAGCCCACTGAGTTTCTCGCCAGATCTTCTCAGTGGGCCGCGTTTCCGACCTGATGGTAGATTCTGCAAAGCATTGCTCTTGCTACCGCCAGTGTTAGCAACGGTCCCGTTTTGACCCCGTGAGCTCACGTACATGTCAAGGAGAAGCTGAAATAGCCTCTCGAGGCTATCAGCATAGGTAGGAAAAAAAAATACTACCTCCCATGTCAGGAACTCCTGCCTAGGACTACAATAATATGACATTCATAACGTCTACATGAACATTTAAAGTAATCTCGTCCTATTCACATTTCGATACATCAAAATGATTTTTGATTTAGAAACATTACATAACACGGTCTTAGTCTGGACTTGGATTGGTATCAAAATTATGCTGAGTATCATATAAACCTTAAGCTGATTGTTCACGGTTGAAATTTCCGTGAATATTTCTATGGTTTTTTTTTTTTCATATTTTTGAAACAACTTAGTACTGATGGAACCAATTAAAACTTCTCGACTCTCGTTAATGACTCTATCATTATCTTCTTCAGAGCACCCTCTAAATTAAAATATTCTTAAACTAAAATACTTTGAAAAACGTTTTGATCTGCGAAAGCTGTCTGGAAAATAATTGTTATTGGCGCTATTAATTTTAAATAATAAAACATTGAGACACGGTCTCATGACACAGCTGGCATAAATAGCTGGAGCTTATAGATGTCACAAAGTGGATATCACCACCTTGGGACATATTATAGTCAAAGTCTCAGCGGTATTGAGTAACGGTTGCCCCTGACAACTGGAAAGTATGATGGCTTCGCGACAGGACTGGTGGTAGGACGTCTTGTGAGTCCGCACGGGTAGGTACTACCGCCTTGCCTATTTCTGCCGTGAAGCAGTAAAGCGTTTCGGTTTGAAGGGTGGGGCAGCCGTTGTAACTATATTTGAGATCTTAGAACTTATATCTCAAGGTGGGTGGCGCATTTACGTTGTAGATGTCTATGGGCTCCAGTAACCACTTAACACCAGGTGGGCTGTGAGCTCGTCCACCCACCTAAGCAATAAATAAATAAAAAGAAACAGACTGGTGCTTCCTACTTCTGCAGGCTCAGTATATTCTCTCCGATCAATGAGATATGATACTCAGAAAACACTGCTTCTCATTTTCAGCTCAAGCTCAAGTTAGGCACCCGTCTACTACGATTGATAAATTCGCGTCCGCCGCCACCGGGCCTCTACTGTAAGCCCACCCTTAATTGTCTTTTGCAATGCTTTCGCGATGAGATTTTCGAATTGGTTCATTTAGGTCGACACAACACAGACAACGATGATCGCATACTTGTTTATAAACAAGAACCAAAACTGAGCTCTTTCATTTATCGACCTCATTTAAATACGCGTCTTTACCAACGTAACGATACGTGTTTTTCGTTTATTATTTCTAATGAAGGCTACTTTGAAAGATTTATTTCGACAACATAGTCAAATTCAGTTTCGGTTTTGGTAATGTATTTATGGGACTGTATGCTAACCAAACGATAACTTGAGTATGGCTTTTCTGGATTTCCTTTCTATAATAAATATTCAAATGATGATTATAACTATTGTGTTTCGATGATAACGCTTATCGATAACTTTGGTTCTCTATCGGATCACCTTGTAAACGTGTTCTCGAGTGGAGGCCGCGAATTGGCAAACGTAATACAGGGCGCTCTCAGGCTCGGTGGATATATGCAGGGTAGCTGGCAAAAGCTAAATAAGAGAGTTTTTTTACTGGTGGTAGGACCCTTTGGACCCGGACGGGTAGGCACCACCACCCCACTTATTTCTGGCGTGAAGCAGTAATGCGTTTGGGTTTGATGGGTGGGGTTGTAACTATACTGAGCCGTTGTAACTATACTGAGACCTTAGAACTTGTATCTCAAAGTGGGTGGCGCATTTATGTTATAGATGTCTATGGGCTCCAGTAACCACTTAACATCAGGTGGGCTGTGAGCTCGTCCACCCAACAAAGCAATAAATAAATAGAAGTTGGAAAGGCCTGATGATGATGATGATGATTATGATAATGATGATCACTCTTAACACAACATTTCCGAAGTTCCATGGTACGGATGAAATGCCTGAAATGGTGATACGTTCACGTAAACAAATACTATTAATTACGATTATAATGTTTTTAGTTTGATCTCTTTCTCTTCCGTTGATAATCCTCAATGCTAAGGGTCGGGACCTTGATGAAAAACTTTCTCATGCACGATCTTGCATCAGCTCAATCTATCCCCGGCTGCATGGAATGAGGTTTTGAAGTATTGAGGAAGTTTATCTTGTACTTATTATGGTAATATCTTCATTTTAAGAGCCGAATTCTGAGGAAAGTGATAACATGCTGCATTCATTTTTAGACGTCGCTTTAACCTATTAAAACAAGGTAGTAAAGTCCGGCTGTATTCCACGGCTAATAATTTAAATAGACAAAATATATGCCTTTCTTTAAAATCATCGCAAATTGATAAATGGTTATATAATAAATCCAAATCCGATTAGAAGACTCAAGAAAGCCGACCTACTAAGGGGAGACGGAGTATTGGCTCTACCTCATCATAAGCCCTGGTCTCCCGCAAGTCAACTGCTTATAGTCTTGACGACGGATAACCGATCAAGACCTATAAAAAATATATTTGAGTTCGACTTCGTGAATGAATACCATAAATGACCTGAAAAACATATAATGCATTAGATGTCCATTGTAATAAATAGGCAAATTGAAATTTCAAGAACTATAACAATGCATAATTTTTTGTTACAGCAAAGTGAAGAGCTACTGAACGGTATATTTTTCTTCGGAATGTCAAACAGTCTAGTCAACCCCATCATATACGGAGCATTCCATTTGTGGCCGAGAAAGAAACGTTCATACCAGCATAGTGACCGGTATGTTGAATAAATTCATAAGTATATACATATAAATGACATTTTTGCAGCTTTACAGGAGAGCACCACACCAAGCTTAAATTTTGGAAAAAATATCATGAATAAAAACATCTTCAGCTGTTTGAGTGTGGTAAACATAATTGGTGTTCAATAAAAAATAACGAGAGTTGATTGATAATACTACCAAATAAAACGGACCTTTAATTACAAAGATAAAACTCGCGTATTAAGCGTTTAAACTAAATCGCCTTTCTGCCTTCGATATATATGTATGTCGGCGGCGCGCCAGGGATGGCTAAGCGGTAATTTCCGTCATCACTCGTATTCGATTGAACTCAGTTTAGTCAATATAACATTTTGAATAATAATTATTGAAACTCAACACACAGAACTTTCACAATGACAGGGTAAACGGACAGTTTCGTTCCACATACCGACTGACTGACTGCCAGAGACTAACTGACTGAGACGGACGGACCGTCCGATACGGACTGAATGACTGTCTGACACGGAATGCCACGACTCTGTCCAAGTACCGCAATTTTATACTGTGGCGTTACGGAGTCTACCCTACATTTTGTGATATTTATCAAAACAACATTTCATCATTTAAAATAATAGTCAAAACAACGTCTTAATATTACTGAAAGTCGTTAACCACGACATGTATATATATAACTTTAATGATCTCGTCATGTAACTGATAAACTTCAGTACTTTATCATTTCTCATGTTTTGAAACAGCTTAGACGCCCAACAACATTCTGCGTATCGTTCTTAAGCAGTTACAGTACATTTTTGGCTAGCGGTACAAGCCTACAATGTTACCAATAAATTCAATGTAAAATTTAGTAAGAAAGTACTAAAATCTGTTAATCACAATATATATTTAAATGACAAACTATTTTTCTCAAATAATATTTGTCACAACACTAAACAAGTTCTTTGTTACGAAGCTAACGTGACACTACTGTACAGAAAACCCATTCTTCATTCTGAAAAGTTTCTGTATTTAATTTTCAAAGTACGCGCTACCAGCATGCAATACTGTCTAAAATTACAAATGGTATTTAAGAATCAGAAATTACTAACATCTTTCAGTAACAATATTTCGTTACAAGCTCACACATGTTTCGTGTCCAATATTAGTGACATTCGCGGACAAATATTGTAAACTAATTTTGTTTGACCTATTGAAAAAATTAATGAACCTATTATATTGTTGAAATAATTTTGAATAAAGTTTTCATTCATTATTTTCAAGAGATAGACATTTTATTGCTTATATTATTTAGGAATTCACCAGAGCATAGTTGAACCATACCATTTAGAATCACTATGTTTATCCACAGTACGTTTCCAGAGATCTTTTTAGCCTTATAACGTCGGGATTGGAATGAACTCCTCTCCTGGTGTTTCGTGAGCGCTATAACATTCTTCAAACGGTTTTGGGGAGAGCATTCAGCCTTAGATAGTGGATTAACTGTGTCCTTGGCATTATCCACGTACATGACTGCATACTCGCCTGCCTACGAATTAAAAAAGCCTACATATCTGTGGTATCATTTTATTGTATTTCATTAAGTGAATCACACAGAACCATTTTTTTACAAAGCGTCAAATAATTACATCAAAATACATTAGCTTTCTTTACAACTCATCCTTTTGGCTATTCGATGTAAGACATAATATAAACTGTCCAATATGTTTTGGCATTATTTCAAATAGTAAATAATGTCATAGCCAAGTGCCCGTTCCAGATATTTATTACAGCATTAACATAATATTGTGATATAAGATCATATTTATTTTTACCATCACTTCAGACCCTTGCAAAAGTTTAGTATCAACTTTTAATGCTTACGGGAGAAATTCTCAGGACTTCGGGTCCGCCATTAATGTGCCTCTCGCTTTTTTCACGGCACATTAAGTCCTTAAGTATTATTAGATAATACTTTGGAGGGTTACCATGGAGCAAGAGTTTCATATACCTTTTAATGGTTTGAGTACGCCTCTTTCCTGAATGTAATGTGGTGGGGTAATGTCTTAGATAATTTGTTATGAGCTTTATAGCAGCAACAATATTTGGAATACTGTGATTCATTGGAATTGTATTAGCCTTAACTTATTATCCTACCAGATTGTTGCAATCTGAATCTCTCATTTAAATCATAGAGGTCGATTTTTATAGCTTTGAAAGTGCATAAATTTAGAAAAATAAAAATAAATAGTTAGATGTGTTTTATCCGGTTCTTTCAAAAAGTGTTTCGAAGCGTCCCACCATTTCGCCAAAACACTATCTCATATTATTTAATTCCATATCATTCATTTTTATCCCATAATCTATTTAATTTTGTTCCATTCCGATGAAATGTAATATGGCAAATAATGTAATATACGTTTAATTAATGAAGATTTAACTAAATATTTCAAATCTTGAAAAATATATAAAAATATTTCTAATACAAAAACAAAGCTCACCTTATAAGCTCAAAAGTTAATTTGGATGTGTATAATATTATTATATTCACAAAGACATCTCGTTTAATAAGATTACACAAAAATATTTAGATCTTGATAAGATAGAGTTAATCTAATAAATAGAATATTATACAGGGAGAAACATTTTTAGTGTGAATGATTGTATATGATTCGGATATCATACGTGAATCTAAGTAGCATAGGATTTGTGAATGGCAGATATATTTTCTTATATGAAATGATTAAATTGGTAGAGATACGACAAAGGGAAGATCTTACATCGAGCGGGTGATATTGCTCCGTAGACCGACGGTCCAAATATTGATGTTCGGAACTTGTATATAATAATAGGCTAGCTTGAAAATGTCGTAAGCGAGATTCAGCCATCTCTCAAACATCTTACGTTCTACCGCCACAAATTATTATCTTAATACATTAAATAAAAAAAATTAAGGTATTATAATATCAAATTACCTTAAAAATCAATAAAAAATGATTAAACATGGTTGCATGCCTAGAATAGAAACAAATACTTTCGTATTTGGATCGCCAACGGGCATTTACTCGTGATAGGGCGTATTGTAAGCCCATATGGGTAAATATCACCACTCCTCTTATTTCCGCTGCCAACATATTGTGTTTGAAAGGTGGAAAAATCCTAATTCAATAAAATAGATACTTCGATGTAGGTGACCGAATTCACGATGCGATATATGTATATATGGGCTCCACTAACTACTTCACATTAGGTGGGCCGTAAGCCCATTTATCTATCCACGAAATTTTGGTAATAACAAAAAAGTCGTCGACGATCTAAAATGTATGAAATGCCATTAATAAAAGTCAACATAGCCGTCAAGTTAAATTAGAATTTACGATACATTGAGTGCGAATGTGTCGGGAGCTAAGGTGATATAAAGTGAAGCTAATTTATTATGGAGTGATTTAAATTTTTTGGATTCTGATTCGAAATTAAGAATATGCTTTGATTATGTGACCAATTTTTTGACATACCTAAACCAATACTAACCAAAGTACGACACATTTAGTTCATGAACGCTTGAAATGCGTTTGTAAAATATGAAATGTGAAATATAATATATCGAGGCCTAATGGATTTGGTGCGAGGTATTGTAAGAACGCGTCAGGCGTCTCAGTTTGAAAGATGGAACACCTGTTATTGAAAATTCGACCAATAAATGTCTCACGTCTCAAGATCAGGGTGGCATTCACTCTCTGGTATTTATGGATCGAGCAACCAATTTCTCAAAAACGAATACTATTAGTACAAAGCGCTATGTCATTTCACGACTATGGTAAAAACAGTATAAATGTATTCCTTGACCTGCATTTGATACTATATCCACATTTTACTACATTTAATATCTTAACACTAAACATATCATAACGGGTCAAATAACAATAATAATTTTGAACATTTGCATTGAAAATGTATGTATCATCTTATTGCCTTTGCACATTTGACTTCAGGCCTTTTTCTTACCAATGAACGTTTTTTTTTTTAATGCCTAGGTATATGGACGATCTTACAGCCCACCTGCTGTTAAGTGGTTACTGGAACCCATAGACATCTACAACGTAAATGCGCCACACACCTTGAGATATAAGTTCTAAGGTCTCAGTAAAGTTACGACGGCTGCTCCACCCTTCAAACCGAAACGCATTACTGCGTCACGGCAGAAATAGGTGGGGTGGTGGTACCTACCCGTGCGGACTCACAAGAGGTCCTACCACCAGTAATTACGCAAATTATAATTTTGCGGGTTTGATTTATATTACACGATGTTATTCCTTCACCGTGGAAGTCAATCGTGAACAATTGTCAAGTACGTATTTCATTAGAAAAATTGGTACCCGCCTGCGGGATTCGAACACCGTTGCATCGCTATATACGAATGCACCGGACGTCTTATCCTTTAGGCCACGACGACTTCAATTTACAGTTATTATATCTTTTTTTTTGTTTAGTTTTGTTTATTTTGTGTAATACTTGTGTATACATACCGTTATCTACGCGCTATTGTAGAAACAGGTACTAGTAAGTATTGGTATAATTAGTGTTAATTACTTTATTTAGTTTACTATAGTTATCCCCTTTTTTGTTGTTGCATACTAAATAAAAGATTCGCTCTGCTTACATTTGAAACTGAATCTACAATGAACTAAAGCTTGCCACTGCTGTATATATTTTTTTGTTTGTTAAACTTACCAATTTCTCGAGATATTGGAAAACTTTCTGCGAATAGTCCCTTACAGGGGCCATTATTGATAACGTTTACTTTAAACATTAAAGCCACCTGAAATCGATTTTTTCCAAAAACGATTTAATCCGCTTGAAAACCTTCCCCTTCAAAACCAGTGATCTGGATACGAACTAATGAATTTACGGCACACATAAATCGGTTATTTGACTATCGGATCTGTACTGCCAACACCAATAAACTAGCAGAATATAATAAATAAAAAAAATTATATTCATGTCTATTGTCATCATATTATATTCAGAGCATGATTATTTAGTTAGCATGACCGTGGTGTTCGAGAAATTCTAATAAAAAACGCTGAATTATGACTGGAATCCACTTCAAAGTCATTAGAGCCTAATTTTGAAGTTACAAAATTATAAAACAAGCTAATCTTACAAACTACGGTTCAATTTTGTGCAAAGAATTCAACAGTCTGAAAAAAAAGGGTGCGTGCACTTATGTACGCGCTTAAGAAGTTACACTTTATTTTTATTAAATTTATTTCTTTTTTTTTATTTAAATTTTAATCAATTTGAAAAAAAATCGATTAAACAACATCCTCAAACACGCATATTGGACATCCCTTTTCTTGACATCGTATAAATTCGGTAATTCTCGGTACGGTTCGGAAAGTTCACCTGCGGCTATATTCAGACTCGCCAAGTTTCGTCGGTCGTATTGTAATGAGCGATTTAGTGAGCGACTTCATTCTGTTAATTTTGTGTCACAGGGCGCGCGCATCGTAAAATTTCACTCTCATCAATTTTTCATAACGCGCCTAAACAAGTATAACTTCAATAAAAACTGAAATGTGAATTATCGATTTTTTTCCGACGCTCTTCAAATAAACACGATATTAAAAATCGACTATTATCTCCTTATTCACACGACTAGCTCCCACCCTAGCTGTCGAAAATTGAGAAAATACGACAGAGCGAAAATCATCTAGCCTCAGCACGAAAGGTCATAGGGTATATTGGTAGCGAAGATAAAACCATAAAACCACAGATAAAATTACAAGGATATTGTCATCAAATAGGAACTTGATATTTTCATGATACATTTTATTCTGTTCATAAAAATTCGAACCTTTTTTTTCGTTCGCAAGAAAACGAGCTTGTGGCCAATCTGATACTGAGTGGTCACCGTTGCTCGTGGACATCAACAATGACAGATCTGAAGGGTTATACTTCGAATTAAATTTCTACATACATACAGTATTTTTAATATTACATTACATTGAAGTAGAAAAGAGTTATTAAATACCCATTACAGAAAAAAGAAACAGGTACTTGGAAAATTTCATATAACTATTCTCATGATTAATTGCGGTGCTGTTGTAATATAAATTACAGCATTTTGCAAAGGAGGTCATCTAAATAAATTATAGATAAGAAGAACTTTTATATTTTAAGGGGTTGAATGTTTTATTTTTGTATCGTTTAAATTTTAGTCATGCGATAGTTTGTATTGTTTACTGCTGGCAATATATCCAATATTGTAAGCTTACTACGAATGGTATCGTTTCGCCTGAATTTGGCGCGAAGTCGTTATGCGCTCTGGCTAGATAGGTAGGAATTGTTTCTGTTGAGTAATATTGTTACGCCGGTAGGAGTAATGCCATCTATTGCCGAATAGCCGAACGAATATCGAAGGATCTAGTAACATCTAGACCGCTCGAGGAGTGCAACGCCATCTATTGTCAGATAGCGGAAACACATAATACTCGACTTTTGTGGAATATTCTCGACGATTCTAGGAATTTCGTTTCGACTATAAAAGCGTTGCAGAGATGTTACGCAGTCTGTCCCACCCACAGAATCAACCCTGCTACTCTCAAACCTGCACCTCGTCACCCCTGCCTCAATAGGCAAGGAGATCCAGTCCGGGCAGAAGGGTTTCCCCGAGGCCCACTCCGCGCTCCCGCAAAGGGACGCCACGCCCCGCACGACATGCAGTTAGTTAGTAATCGGAACAGCGAACGGATCAACTGAAGCGAAGCGAACGAAGCGAATTTAGACTTTTCAAATGTTTGTGAAGTGTTTTAAGTGTTCTAAGTGATAAATACAGTTTGAAGTTGCACTTTGGTGGAACATTTATTTATCCTAAGCCCCAGCGCGTAACAATATGTACAAATGAGATTTCGTCTAAAAGTACGACGGACTCCGTTAAGCACTTAACATTAGACGGGGCATGAACGTCTATCAAACCAAAGAAATATATGCTATTTTGTTTAGTAAATATTCACGATTAACTACAGTTTTATCCATTTTTCCCATCTTTACAAGAAAATAACATTAACAATACAGAAAAGAACATGTAAAAATTACAATTGAAATAAAGCCTTAGGTGTCAGTGGTTACGGTCAAATTTCAGTTGCTGAACGAAAACTAAATAGTTCTAATAAATAGTCGTCGACGGTAGCGTACGCCACTGTGGTCCGTTGGCTGGTAACAAACGACCAGCTTCAGCGACAAAGTAATAACAGAATAACTTTTTATTTTTTATTTTTTATTGCTTAGATGGGTGGACGAGCTCACACCTCACCTGGTGTTAAGTGGTTACTGGAGCCCATAGACATCAACGACATTAATGCGCCACCCACCTTGAGATATAAGTTCTAAGGTCCCAGTATAGTTACAACGGCTGTCCCACCCTTCAAACCGAAACACATTACTGCTTCACGGCAGAAATAGGCAGGGTGGTAGTACCTACCCGTACGGACTCACAAGAGGTCCTACCACTAGATAACTATACTTCTTATTAAAAAAAACCGATAGAGGTGATAACGAGTTTGGGATTCGAATAATGCCACAAATGTCTTATGGAGAAGGCGATGAGAAACCGTTGTAATACTTTCCGAAGACAGTCCACAAATACTCGAAGTAGTTGCTAGTCACGTATACAGGCTTTATTTAGCTAATAAATTGTAATGATTCACATGAGTGAACACGAATTCTCAATTTCGCCTTTTTCCTGTTGATACCGAATATCATTTCTATTTTGAAATATATATTTTTCCCCTAAATATTCTTCGCTGTAGTTTGAGATTTTATACCAGAATGAACAAATTCTAAAGCTAAAATTATATGAAAACGCATGCGTAATTCATTCATGAGCACAATATGAAATCGAACGTGTATTGATGTGTAGGTATGTGAAAAAATGTTTTTTCTATACTTGCACTGTGAGACTTTAGCGCCCCTACAACATAGCAAAAGTTCAAAAACCATGTCATTATTAAGTAGTTGTTTCGTTTTAATTACTCCTACAGTAGAGTTTTGCTTTCATAGTAGTTATGCACTTAAATAAATATAAATTCATCGTGAAACGAATAATACCAAGAAAACAATCCTACAACTCACGTGATAGTGTAATTGTGGTGATTACAAAAGCCGGTACAGCTATGGTTGCCATATCGGAAAAGGAAATGTTTTATTTTATTCTATTTTTGCTTTAAACACCGAGAGGGATTTAGTCAAAATACTAATTGCATTGGGTGAAAGTGTAGCTATTACTCGCACAATGTTGGTTAAATCTTTAAGAGGCTTGGTCCGAAAATAGTCACCGCTACTAATTAGACATAATCTATATATTAATACGTGAAGCAAAAACTTTGTATCTCTTTTTACGAAAATTGCGCGGACGGAGGAGTATGAAATTTTCCACGCTTATAGAGAATATAGAGAAGAAGTGCACAATGCTAATTTTTTTTTTAAATAATGCGTAAAACATTCTTTGAACCAATAAAGAAAACATTACACACACTACATACCATCTATTTGACGCACACACGCATGCATACTATTTATTGTCAAACTTTTGTTCTATACGTCTGTTGTCAAATTGAGAATAGAATATGGTTTGTCTTTGTTAATATTTTTTATAGTATAGTCTTGGCGAAATTTGTGATTATAAAAGTATAAAATACAATCATAATAGTGTACAAACTTACAATTCCAATTAATTATAGTCGAATTTCGACTACTGCGGGACCTCTAGTCTTTATAATACTTTCATAATAGGAACTTTTTAGAAGAAAAAGGAAAAAAGAAGTACTTTGTTTGCATTTTATTGAGTATTAGTATCCTTTGTAAAACTAGATAGTTATAATTAGTATTCTGGTAAAAAATATCTGGGCCCATCACAGCTCACGTGAGAAAAACGTTTTGATGCCAACAAAATGAGTTTCTTGTGCAATATACCACCTTATTTGTATTACATTTATGTATGTTGAATTGACTAATATATTGTTATCTTTACAGAGAATCGGGAGGTCATCATGCATCGATTCTTCGTCGTGGTGATAACAACACATCATCCGTTAGATTGACGACAATCAGATCCCTCCGGTCTTCGGCAAAATACTCGAATGGACAGAACATTAGTTTGTTATAACAAGGGCGCAAGCCAGCAATGGCTGGTGTGATCCTCGAGGAAACCCTCACGAACAATGATATCCCTTTAAGCCAAATCAGTTGTGTGTATTGTTTAGAAAAAAACAAAATGAGGAACCGGCTTAAATACAACGATTTTTCTGTCTAAATTTTTTTTTTGAATTGTGTGAATTTCAGTTTTTTTGTTCAGTATTTTCTAGAATAAAACTGCTTTGTTTCTGAAACTATTTGATAGACATTAAAGTGAGTAAGGTACCTAATGTTAAATATTAATTTTTCTATAAAATTTATTGTTATAAATAGATGTCTAAAGTAATCAAATAAAAATAAATGTAATTAGAACTTAAAAAATTGACAAAATGGCCTATCTAAATACCTGCTTGATCTGCATACCATATACATTTTTGTTTCAAAGAATGTATATTTCTCTGTAGCTGTTAAAGAAGAAGGCATTTTTTTAAGAAAAAAAAACAAGCAGGAACTTCATAACTTTAGTTACTATTAAAGTTCTAGTTTGTTATCTAGGTTGTGTTTACATTCGGAATGCGGGCTTAGTTCACTACTTTGTTCGTGTCTCGCTCTTTTTATGATCTGTCTCTATAAGAGGAGCGAGTGAGATATAGTACGACAACTAATATACCTGAGAGGCATTTTCCTGAAACCGAATCGGTGTAATGATAAAAATGACATTGAGAAATGGAATTCCGTAAATAGAACGCCTAATTCCAGAACTAACTTAGAAGAAAAAGAAAATGAAAATATTATATATTATGTACATATATTTCACTTAAATATTGCACTGCATCTTGTTTTTTCGTCATAAAAAAAACTAACTTATTGAGAACTAGTGTTGATTTTTGATAAACAAGTAAAAAATATACAATCGATAACAACTTGCGTATCGTAAGTCATTGATGAAACTATGCCTGAACTTCCTGAAATTCAATAAACTATGCAAGTTTCAGCACAAACAGACAAGTGACACATAAAAACATAGATTACAAACTAAAAAAATTATCTAAAAACAACATTTTTTTGCAATATAAAAAAATTAAAAATAATACCACCGATTCACATATGGTTATTTAGTAATTAATGTATGTATTTTAAAAAAATACCATAGTCGAGTAATCTAAAATGGTAATATTGTGGTGCATGAAATAAATTTAGGAAATCTACCTCTTTACTGGTAAACACCATAGCTTGTTTAATCTTGAATGATAATATTTGAAAATAAGCTCAACTAGGTGGCTGGTAGAATTATGTATGTGAAACAAACAAATTATAAAAAGATAGCCGGCTAGATGAAAACTAATTCAACGACAAAAAATTGGAATCTCTTCATTTCGTGAAAAATTTATTGAATATATTATAAAAAAAATATCGGTTCATTGGGTGTTAGTTATATGATTAGCTGAGCCTGTTGATGACACAATTCTGCTAATTAATAAAAATTTTGATTTTTTTTTCATTGCGGCAAAATGCGCGAAAATTGCGTGCGGCGAAGGTGCTAACTGCGGTGACCCCATAGCCAAAGCCTGGACTTTGACCTGGGGGGGATTGGACGCTTGGGCGAGAGTGCAGCGGAGTCTTTTAGTGGGTAGGGCCTGTGTCCTCTCCCACATCTGCGGACCGTCCAGTCCCACATAAACCGCGTGCCTAAGTGCGGAGACCGCGTAGGAGGTTCAGTCACTGACCCATCTGATCCCGAATAAAAAATCTGGTGGAAAGGGCGTGTCAATTACAGTCATAAAATTCAACGCTCACTTGTCTACAAAACATTTTAGGTTTGTACTACTTCATAGCATTGGAGACATATCTCGCGACATTACTGCTGAGTCGAGATACTTTTGAAAAGATAAAATGTAAAGTATACATGTGAAGGTTTACAACGTTTACTGTCAGTTGGAATGTAGCTTATCGTGAAAGTTGTTTGGTGTCTCAAACTGCTTGAGGCACTGCCTAATTATTATAAAATTAGCTATTCGGATTTAGCTTGCATCGTATTACGTGATGTCATTACTTAAGTAAGTGAAAAAAATACTTTTAATAGAGAAGAAAGCGAAATAGGATTAAGCTTAGTAAGATTTTGGAGTGGAATATGTAGAGAGTTGTTAATGCAAAAAGAGATTAAAAAGATTACTCTTTAATGTCAGACTAGACGGAGTTTCCTTTTTAAGATACAAACCTTCAACATCTTTTCTTAAATTGATCCGTAGATTGACCCTATCTAATCGTACCTCATCAAGCACGACATGAAATGTGATTGTCAAGTTGTATTAATAAAGTTCAACCTCAATTGAAATTTCAATTAGACAGATCTTCAGGTAGATACAAATTATTATTTTTCTGGTTAATACTTTAAAACGAAATGGTAGGAAATTATATAGTAGTAGACCGATCAATTGAAGGATCGAAAAAGGATTCGTTTTAGTTACGGATTTGCTCAGGAGATATTTAATAGTACCCCTAAGTCGCAGAAACATTAAGGAAAATCGTTTGACCATAACAAATGTCCTCAACTTTGGAATATGCGAACACTTTTTAGAGCATTCGTCTTGGTTCGATCTTTCGTAAATAATCGATCTTCTCTTAAAACGGGCACCGGTTTATTTAAGTCAACAAGTTCTTTACCTAACATGACCGGGATTAAGAAACGACACTATATCCAAATCATGAGTGTAAAATTGAGTCGTAATTAGCCGGAGCTGATGGTAGGACGTCTTGTGAGTTCGCACGGGTAGGTACCACCGCCCTGCCTATTTCTGCCGTGAAGCAGTAATGCGTTTCGGTTTGAAGGGTGGGGTAGCCGTTGTAACTAAAACATGAGACCTTAAAACTTATATCTCAAGGTGGGTGGCGCATTTACGTTGTAGATGTCTATGAGCTCCAGTAACCACTTAACACCAGGTGGGCTGTGAGCTCGTCCACTCATCTAAGCAATAAAAAAATAATATGCGGGAATCACTTTTTTTGGAAACATTCATTTTTCATCAATATTTAAGTGTGGAAAAACAAAATTTGAATTATAATAACTTCACAATGATGATGAAGGCGCCATTTTTTATTATTAACTAAAGCTCTATTTTGACTCCAATTTTGAATCAGAAATGTATTGTTTGTTGTTGTTGTAAACGCGTATACCGTTTATATATTATAAATAGCAATAATCGGTGCATATTACAGTATTGAGTTGTGTAAAAAAAATTGAAATCGTAGACTTCTATTTAGATAAAACAAAGTGAATTAAATTAAATTTAATGGCAATGTAGTAAAGCGAAATGAATCTGCCTGTGCGTATTGTTTAAGTGTTTTAAATGTTATCATAATAGAATCTAGTCGTTACAATGTTTCTATCGCCAGCATAGATTAATTATTTAAAATTATATAATATAAAAAAACTCAGCATAGATGTTTTCGCATATAGTGATCTTAAATTTTGTAACTTTATAATATTGTAAATACGTTGTAATAATACATGTGTAGAATTAAACTTGGTTTGAAACTTTTGTTCATTCATTGTTTCCTATTCTTAACGAAAAAAAGATACTTAAATGGTATTAGCCAAAAGCTATAACAAACAAGCTAAGTTTTAATAATACCAACGAATTTGAGGCGATAAAAAATAATATACACTACACAACGAAGGACATTGTAAGATTGCCATTCGAAGGTACTGGTAGTGTGGGGTATTGCAAACCCTCATAGCACCACCACCTATACCACTACTAAGCGCCACCATCCTACCAATTTCTGCAGTGAAGTAGTCAAAAGGTCAAAAGGCGACAAAAGCCGAGATCAAAGCTAAATTTTTTTAGCCAAAAGCTAAAATAGTGAAAATGTTACCGATGTTGCATTATATATATTTTTTTTTTGTTAATATTTTTTTACTTTTATAGTTAAATAATTTATAAGTTGTATTTATTTATGCCTACATATATGTACTTAACATATTCATTTATGCACACGATGTCTTAATGTTCAACGAGTGATAAAAAATACTATTAAACTATTTTGAAAATCTCAAACTCTTTAGGGAACTATTAAAGAGCACAAACTAAATCTCACATATGAGATAAGACGCAGTTAAAATTTAGTTTCTTATTTAATCAATTTCTACTCAATCAACCTCATAGAAAATAATTTACATTAAATATTCACAAGTTTCTTTGAATGTTACACATAGACAACTGCGAACAGCTAACCCAGCTGCGCAATTTGTGGTAAACGCATCGCTAACTTCGGCTCTGTGTCAGTGAAAATCAAATCTTACCGCTCGGTTGAGAGTCCTGTGAGCTAAATTGAGGCGTTAAAAATGTGACTTTGATGCATACAATAATGCGAACACAGAACGAACGTTTTGACCAAACAATTAAAATTAATATGATTATAAAAATACACATGTTTTTTTTTTATTATTGCCTTTGTAGGCAGACGAGCATACGGCCCGCCTGATGGTGAGTGGTTACCGTCGCCCATGGACTTCAGCAATGCCAAGGGCAAAGCCAAGCCGCTGCCTACCGACACATGTAGGTATGCGGTAAACGAATCAATTACGTGTACCAAGAGGAACGTAAAGTAAATTAATTAATTTAACTTTTCTAACAAAGCATATATATACATCCAAATAGAGAACATCTGTAAATCATTAGGAAACATCATAAATTATCACCTCAATTAAAGTTACACATGAAAATCAATTTAGTTGTCAATATAATAAATAACAAGCCGCCCGCTCCGGTTCCGCTCGGGTCTCTAACAAAAATTTCAAAGATATTTAACGTTATTGGAGTTTTAGTAAGGATTCATAATTTTTTTCAAAAAGGATTATAGCCTATGTCACTCGGAAATAGTGTAGCTTCCAAACAGTGAAAGAATTTTTCAAATCGGTTCAGTAGTTTCAGAGCCTATTCAATAAAAACAAACAAATAAATCTTTCCTCTTTATAATATTAAGTATGGATATATAGGTATATATGCAAGATGAAACAATTTTGACAACGCAATGTAAAGAGTTTTGATGATTGAAAGAGTTTCGTCGGTCACTCAGCAATTTACTGGCATCGAGGTTCAAAAAGCGGTGGGAGCTTATGGAATTTTTCTACGTAAATTCATATTCAATGCGTTCACGAGACATGGACGATGAAGAAATTGACCCGCTTTGGTAGGTGCTTGCTGTCTGATTGTGACGTGGTCGATAACGTGTTCAGCTATTAGTTATTTCAAGNTGATGATTGAAAGAGTTTCGTCGGTCACTCAGCAATTTACTGGCATCGAGGTTCAAAAAGCGGTGGGAGCTTATGGAATTTTTCTACGTAAATTCATATTCAATGCGTTCACGAGACATGGACGATGAAGAAATTGACCCGCTTTGGTAGGTGCTTGCTGTCTGATTGTGACGTGGTCGATAACGTGTTCAGCTATTAGTTATTTCAAGATTCAGCCTTCGAACTGTTTGGCGGCATACGTATTGATGCTTATGAAACCACCGGGCTTCATAGACATCCATGGCTTACCGATCGCATTTAATACCATAGATCCAACAAGATCGAAAACTGTGACGATAAACCGAACCAAACTTTCCAAACTAGCTTTACGGCCAAGTATAAAAGAGAAAATCCATATTTTTATTGTATTTATGGGTAAATGGCTCATTGGTGACCTGGTAAGTGGTTACCCGAGCCTTTAGATGTTACAATGTGAAGCCATCAACCTTGAAACGTGAAGTATAATAATTTCTGTTTCGCGATAGGAATGGGTGA